CATAATGACATATTATCAAATAGTGCAACCCTACAAACCTGGAGCCTTTTTAATCACATTTTAAATCGAAAATAAAAAAATGTTCCTATAGTTAAGGTGGTCAATTTTATCACAATAAAAAAAGCAACATAATAGCAATAACAAGAATCAAAGATGCTTTTGCGAGACATAAAGTCACAGTGACATAAAATGTGACATTGTGAGATACATAGATGTGTTTTGTGATTTTCATGCTTCCAACCTTTCAAATCCCTCACCCTAAGTCTGATAGTGAAAGGTGTCTTTAGCATGCTAATTTGTTTTGAAGGAATAGCAGATCTTTCGAAGCATGTCATGTATCCTTCAGTGAGTAAGTGAGTGAACGAATGAACAAATGACCAGACGAGCACTTAGACATCCTCATACATGCACATAATAAGGCAGCCAAATGAAACGGCACCATTTATATCACGCCGTTGTTCCTCCTCAGGGACCGATGCTAATGCTACAGCTAGCGGCTGTGGCGTGTGTCTGTTCCTGAGGGAGGCCTGCGTTAACCTGAGGCCATTCTGCATTATGATAATGATAGAACCGAGTCTACGGGTCCTAATCAGCTACTGTCAGCCTATAACACCGGCCCCGGGGCCAACCAGCCACAGCTAGCATCGCACGCTCTCAGCTTCGCACCCCGCGTGTTTGTTTCCTCGCTAATAGACGAAGTCTGTTAAACGGTGAGTCGTTTACAGACGTTAAATAACTCAGAAGAGGCCTGGGAGAGGCTTTTGAGGAGCTGCTCGGATGAAGTCATCATTTTAATGAATGTAAAGAAAAATACGAGGCTGACAGAGTCCCTCAGAGGGCGGTGCTTGGGTTTTCATTTGTGAAATCATTTACTCCACACGATGAATTTGGGATTGTCAGCTACTGCAGTATGACATCTCCCTTTGTTTAAAACAAGCTTGCATTTCCTGTAACAATCCCCCACACTGATTGTCATATGAAGTCCTTCAAATCTAAATAAACGTTCCCCGAGGCTCCAGCCCTTCTTACAGCGTTTCAAACAGAGCTGCCTCTTCCTGGCAGTCTCCTGTCTGTTCCTGCAAAGCATCTGTGCACCAATCCAGTTACTTTATCTCCTCCGCCACACTCTCCTCATCTGCTTAGTGTCAGCTCGGGCCTATTAGACAGATAAGGGCTTCCCTTGAATCTCTTACAGGCAGGGTTTTTTGCCGTCGATTTCTCGCATGTCAACTCGAATCATGCTCTTACTCTCTATCGTTCTTTCTCTCTCGTTTCCCGCAGTCATTACGAGCAGGACCGCTCGGCACTGAAGAAGAAGGAGTGGGAGCGAAGGACACAGGAAGTGCAGCAAGATGAAGACTTGTTCTCTACTGGATTTAATCTGTTTGGTGAGCCGTACAAGGTAAGTGTTTTGCCAAATGGCCCAATCAGAGCGCACACACACACACACACACACGCACACATCGTCTGACACAGGGCAGCTAAGGGATGCTGAGTTGCATAGCAAAATCACAAGGCAGTGCAAGATAAAAATATTTAACAGAAAAATTATAAT